TGGCACTGGCTGCCCGCCTTTCGTCCCCCCCCTGGGAGGTGCCGGTCTCCAGGCTGCTCACAACCCTGAAGCTCTAGGCTGCTCTTACAGTAATAGTCTAGCATTTGTGTATAGGGCCAGTTAGAGATTATTAACATAGCGAATTAAAAGGACATTTCAGCTGAGACACTGGTGTTTTTGGGTATGAGTGGGACTCGGCAGACTTACGCTGGGTCTCATGCTCTGGGTCAGCTGACAACCATGGGCTCCCTCTCCCAAGAGAAATGTGCCAGGCCTGGCTGGCCTCTCAGGTAAGTTCCTTTCAACTACCCTGATCCCTGGTTAAACCCACCGTTTCACCTGCATTGTGACTGTGTATATGCAGGAGAAAAAAATATGCATAAACTGTGTGAATGAATTTGCATGAAAATCTCTTCTTAAGGAGAATTATTTGGCTTCTTCTAGATGTCTTCTAAGTAGAAGAATTCAAAGAATTGGAGTTTGTGATTTGGAGTGGAAGGGAAACATAAAAAACAACACCCTCCCCCTCCCCCAGCCCCCAAACAAGCCTATCCTTGCCTTCAGCATACGGGGGAGCTGAGGTCGTACTGCACATGGAGGTTTACACTGGGGCTCAGTGAACGTTCTCTGTGGTTACAGCCGCTACTCCAGTGCTTCCCAAACTGTGTTCCTGATGATTCTAATTCTTCACTAAGAGTTCTGTGGTCAAGTCAATTTAGCAAAGGCTGACTACTTTGTCCTGTTCTTGGAGATTCATCACACACTTCATTTACATAATCATACAACATATATTTAACAAGCTCTTTCTATGTGCCAGGCTCTATGCCAGGTTCTGGGAGAATAATGAAGCAAAAAGAAGCTTAGTTGCTGGTTTCATTTGGCTTATACTCTAACAGGGAGATAAACATTGATCAAATAGTCAAATAAATAATGTCTAATTATGGGCCCAGGTAAATTCTACAAAAGAAAGGAACATGCTTATAGGTGTGGACAAAGGAGTTCTATGGAAACTAACCTCACAGGGTGATCTGATCATAAATTCCTAACTGGGCCGGTCATGGTGGGTAGTCATGCCCCAGGCATATAACTTCTTTTGTCAAAGGTTTATCTTTGCCTTAAGCAAGCCCTGTCTGCTGATTCTGTGCATCTAGGTTAACATACCCTTGAAAAACTGGCTTCCAGACTCCTCCTTCTAGTATATGCCCTCCCTTGTGAGAACACAGAATCTTAACTATTCTGGAATCCCATTCCCGCCTAGCTTTCTCCCACCTCCATGTAATCTTCCTCACATTCCCTTCTTAATCTCAGTGAAGGAATCCTCAAATAAATCCTCAAATAAAGGAAGGTGCAAATTGTTATTCTTGGGAGCATTTGAAATCTTGCTCCCCAGAATATGTTGTCCTCAAATAAACTCTTATAAAAATTCTCTACAGGTTTGGATGTTGCTAACATTGACATAGGAAACCTAGGTCAGGGGTCAGGGAAAGGTTCCCTGAAGACAGGTGACTGCAGATATCTGAAGTTTGGTAAGAGTTAGCATTAACTAGGTCAAAGACCAAATCTTGATGCTTTAGAATGTTCAGCAAAAATGTAATGAGCCACATATGCAATTAAAATTCCTCCAGCAACCACATTATAAAAAGTAAAAAGAGAAAGATGAAATTAATTTTAGCATTATATTTTACTTAACTCTCAATCTATCCAAAATATTGTCATTTCAACATTTAATCAACATAAAATTATGTATACAGTATTTTACATATATTTTTATTCCAAGTCTTTGCAATCTGGTGTGTCTTTTATACTCAGAGCACATGTCAGTTCAGACTAACCACATTTCAAATACTTGATAGCCACATCTAGCTCTTGGGAACTGTATGAGGCAATGCAGATAGAGGAACCAAAGACAAAACCAGTGCAGCAGGAAGCCAGAGAGAGAAAGGGATGGTGGTGCAAGATAGGGTGGTTCCATCCAACTAGAGGTGCTCAGCTCAGTTGTTTTACTGATAGCAGTTGCTCAATTAATATCTGGTGATTAAGTCATCTTCTTAGTTATATGCAATACCATCTCTGGCTCATCCATGCAGAAGAGGAGTTCATTAAAATGATACTAGGTAGCAACCACAATGTCTGCAGGGTAGAAGAACCAGGCTTGGCAAATACAGGGTTCAGCACAAATATGCCCTTTTTCATTACAAAATCATAAGCATGTAATTTTGTAACATAAAAATTTCACACTCAAGCACACCACATGACATTTTAGGTGAAATGTGCAAATTAAAATTATAAATTATTACACTCATATTATTACCCTATCAACCTCACTCAGGCAGACGTTACTTCTGTTGGACCCTGTGTACTCAGACAGACTGACCTGGTAGTAACCCCGCTGCTGCTGCTGCAGAGAGCCCAAGCTGGCTGCCCAGTTGGCAAAGTGGAGTGCTTCCATTCTCAGTAGCTTCTAGTTCAGAGTCTGGTTGACTGAGTTTAAATGGGGAATTCTAGCTGCAAGGGAGGCTGGAAAGGTGTGTTTGCTTTTCAGCTTCTGTAGTGGAAAGCAGGCTCCTCCCACAAGAGGAATTCATTGTTCTAATACAGGAAGGGGTCTGCAGATGCTGGGAAGCCAGAACAAATGACCAGAGTCTGCTAGAGTATCCTGAGACCTTGAAATTTTTACTGCAACACAAACTGAAGCTTTTGCCTAAACTCCCCAGGCAGGGACTTTCTCCACACACAGGAGGCTTGCCAGATCTCCCTGGGGTTCCTCTGGAAAGTAACAAGCAGTTGATGTTACACAGTACTCTATTGCTGTGATTGTAATTTCATTGTGTCTTTGAAAGTTCTCACATGTTGTAAAATAGAGACACTGGAGGGCACTCTAACCAACTAGCAATAAAACTTAAATGGTTTCATAACCTCAATAGTTAAAAAATGGATGTTGGTTTTGTTGAATCAGTTTCCCCCTCCTTCACCTCCCTTCCCCACCAAGATAACCAACTTTGCAGGAACCCTTAGCTTCCCTAGGGGATCTCACTGTGACAAAGGCTCCCAACACACACCACATTGTCCAGTGTTAAGTTCTACAGACCATACTATGGCTTTGAGCAACTCTGAACAGAGAGGAAAACTTTTGACTCATAGGTCATCCACTCCCTCAGGTACTGATGAGATGGAGACTCTGCACCCAAGTGCTCACACGCACATTGTAGAGGTCAACCGGCAACGGAAAGCCTAGAGCAGAGGAGACCTGGTGGCTAAGAATTCCTTCAAGCCCGCAGCAGGCCCCCAAGGGTCAGTTTTTCCATTTGCAAAACGTAGATAATACCTGACTTACAACTGTAGTTTGCTGATAGAGAAGGAGAGCAAGAGGAGGACGAAGAAACATAATCTGGCGGGGACATTTACCATCCCATAACATGCACGGAGCTTCATACTAAAATGATAAAGCCAGCCTGCCTCTTGTTAATGAGTTATAGCGCACAAGAGTAACGAGGCTAGAGGTCGGAACCGGACCTGCTCCTCCTGGCAGGGAGCGTTTGGTGAGCAACGTGCCTAAATGCCAGCCTCCTCCTCCCCAGCACTCTTTCCAGCCCCCTCTCGTTCTCTTCTTAGACTGATTTCTCCACACGGACCTTCCACGCTGGGGCCCAGACGTCAGGAAGGAAGGGGTGCGGGGCTACTTTCCTCGTCTGGCTAGAGGGAGACAGAATCCCTTCTGGTGACCGCGCGGTCACTCGCGCAGTCTTGCAGAGCGACCTCAGGCTTGGCAGGGTCGCGGTGGGATGGCGGTGCGCAGCTTTGCATCGGAGCTTTCTATCCTCTCACCACCCCCGACGTCCCCAAGAACTGTCGAGGCGCAGCCGCCCTCCAGTGGTTCCGGCCGTCGCCCTTGGAGAGCTCCGGGCTCAGCTCCGGCTCCCCTGCGCCAGATGCGGACTCTGCGACAAGTTCTCTGGCGCTCGGCATTTTCGGTCCCGGGCCCCGCGGGCGGAGCCGCAGCTTGGATTCGAGACCCGAGGGAGGAGCGGGGACGCGGATCAATAAAGGGAGAGAGAAGGAAAACTGATGAGAAGCAGCAGCTGCTTAATTCCATTCAACAGGTAGTTGCGCGCATCTACAGGGACTCGGTGCTGGGTCACGCGTCTGAAACCTCCCAAGCTCAGCTCTCTGGTCCCTTTGAGGGGTGTCTTCTGGTATCCCTCCGGCCCTCCCCCCACTCAAAGTGTGAGAGCGCCTACCACGTGACAGGCGCCGCACTAAGCGCTGTATATTATCCCTTTTAGTGTTACCCAACATCCATAAGCAGCAGGAACTGCCACCACAGGTATTGGGGACCAGGGAACGAACGGCCTTGGAGAGGTTCAATGGCTTGCGCCGAGTTTTGCAGCTAGTGGCGGGAGGAGGACTCGGAGAAGGGTCTGTGCCATCTTGACGCCGCGGCCAACAGCCCCCAGTCCCTCAACCCTGCGCAATTATTGTCCTATCACGCTGCCTGCGCCCGTCGCGGACCTCTCTGAGTGGCAGTGAAGGAAGAAAAGTACCAAAGGGGCGACAAGGTGGCTGTCCCCTATCCGGACCCTTGGCCTGGGGCGCGGAGAGACCATTCCGGGGATGGGAGCAGCTTTGCACTTCGGAGAGGATAATCTTCCTACCCCAGGGATCGCGTCCCCAGCGGGCGCAGCGTATCGAGGCACTGTCCTCCGCTCCCACACCCAGGAGGGGAGAGAGAAGGATCTGGGGTTCCGGACTGGGCACCGGGAGGAAGTGCGGTGGCTGGAGAAAGGCAGGAGGGGGAGAACGCGAGGTGCGCCTGCAGAGCGTCCACGTGGTGGGTGTGTGGCGCTTTCATTCAAACTTTGGGAGTCTGGTTCCGGCGTCAGCGAAGGTGTGACCAATCAGGGTCGGGAACCGGGAATAAATTATGCAAATCACCATCTGGCGATGGGTCAGATGACTCCCCTACTTTAAAAAAACCTACCTCAACGCTAGTTCGCTGTGTGACAGTGGCGAGCCCGTGCTTCCCCGGCCTGCGGCGTGGGTGAAGGCAGACCTGGTTCTGGTTTAAGCCCCTTCACACTCCCTCTGCCACCGCCCGGCCGCTCAGGGTAGCCAAGGTTGCATTGGCCACTTTCTCCACTTTCAGCTGTCTAAGGCTATCTACCACTCCCGTGGAGAGAACGTGCCCACTTCGGCTCGGGCTGCTGGCACCTCGAGAGGTGTTTCGTTTTGTTTTGTTTCCCCTCCTTGTAAAAGTCCTGGTTCGCGACGGGTGCGAGGCGGGGAAGGATGAGAAACTCCGTTCTTCTGCTCTGCTTCTGGAGCGTCTATTGTTGCTTAGCCGTGGGAGGCCCCGCAACCCTTGGTCCAGAGGGACCGTTACAAGGTAATGTGCACTGATTTTTTTATTGACCCCCAACTCCTTTTCTGTGCCGGGCCCCCTCTGTCTTGCACACCCTTCCTCAGTCCCTCCTTGTTCCTGGGAAATCCTTTCTTTCCCGCTGCGCTATCCGTTTGCTCCTGCCTATCAGCCTTGAGTTCACTTGTTTCTTTGCGCTTCTGGCAAGGGCGTCGCTGGCCAGACTCGCTCTCGCCTCGCTCTCGCCCCACCCCTTTCCATTATATGGATGGGCCCCTTCAAACGTGCTGTCCGGTCAGCCCAGCTCGGTGACAGCAGCTCGTCAACCTTGCCCTCATCTTTGGACCTGGAGGTTTGCCGGTCTACATGGTTAGAAGGAGCTCTCTCACGTGGCGCCTGTCCTTCTTTCTATCGCTCTCTCTCGATGCAGGTGTTTCGAAAGTTAAGGTGGCAGGGAGCGTTTGGTGAGCAACGTGCCTAAATGCCAACCTCCTCCTCCCCAGCACTCTTTCCAGCCCCCTCTCGTTCTCTTCCTAGCTGCTAGCTTTTCTTCCGTCTGTCTGCGTTCTGCTTGGCTGTCTCTGCCACTGGAAGAAGCTGGCCTCGGTGGAATGAGGGTAGGGGCACCCAGCGGGAGTGCCAGGGGAACCCCTAAACTGCACCACGTTGTTTCATCTTCTGCTAGTCTGCTGAGGTTGGCCAAATGGTGTCCGTCGGCGTCAGCTTGTATACCGGTGGGAGGGTTAACTTGATTGAATGAATGGGAAGCCTTGCTTTACGTAGCGTGTGCCCAACTCTAGTGCTAATAGTGTGACCTGGGGTAGGGAGCTTCTCTAGCTCTTCTCCTGTCAAATGCTATTGTTCCCCCCAGCTTCCGTGTTCTGCAGTTTGGAGTATTTGTGGGCCATTTTGTTCATTCAAAAAAGTATGTACTTCATGCCAGTTTAGTGCCAGGCAACTTCTAGCAGCAGGTGGAAACCCCTGCCGTCAAAGAGCTTACATTTCAGTGGTGAGAAGACAGGAAAAATCTAGTTAAATTATATAAATTGTGCTCAGTGTTATGGGAGGTTGGAGGGCTGGTGGGAGAAGTTGGTGCAGTTTGAACCTGTGGTCAGGGTTGAGAATTTGAGAGCAAAAACTAAAGAATGAGCCACGAGGACATCTGGGTGAAGAACAATCACAATATTCCAGAGGTTGAAGTGACCCAGGCCAAAAATAGTAGGAATGAAGCTAGAGAACTCTGGGGTCAGAGAAGCAGTTGCTGAGGTGAACCTTTTATGTTAGTGTGTCGGTATATCTACCAGCCTGTCTCCGGAAGCCTTTTTTCCTGGAGTTCCCCATCGGGGCTTTGTGTGAGTGGCTATATGGGTGGAAACTGGGGAGGTGTCATGCTATTTATGTCCGTGGTTCAAACTTCTGCTGGTTGAAACTTGTTCGTTACTTGAACAACAAAGTTCTGTTCCTGTGTATTTAGATGCAAGTTCTGGAACTCTATCCTTTTCACATCTGGTACATTCTCTCCCTTCTCTACCCTCTCAGCTCACCAGCCCTCTGTCCACCATTCTGGTCTTTCTTTCTATGATTCCATTTGCTTCCTAAGTCTGGAACCCATGAAGCTCCTGGGATGGTCCTTTGATATCTTTCCCCCTGATTTCTAGGTGATGGGAGAATTTGATTTTCTAATTTTTTAACCTGTTACCAAGGGATGGTTTCCTAGGTGGCTGGAAGAGTGTTTGATGGGGTTCACTCATGACCATTGGCATAGTGTGGGGATTGCAGCACCTGGTGTTTAAAGGCCACAGGGACCGTCCGTGATATGGGCTATGGTTCGGGAACAGCGTTATCTGGGCATCTCCTCCCAGGCAGTGTGTCTGAGCGGTGCAGCTGGAGAGAGTGGTTTTGCTGCTTTTCTGAGTTTTTCCATGGCTTCAGTCACTTATTTAACAAACTAGAATGCCTGGCACATGCTGGGCTCTGCAAAGAGCACTGGGGAGGCGTGAGGTTCTTTGCAGTAACTGCTAGAATCGAGCGGGGACGCCAGGAGAAGCCCATTGTGTAATAGGTCGACAGTTTCTTATCTTGAATTCCAAACTCCCAAAATCTCTCAAAACTGGAACGTTTGTTTGGTAACTTGTTTGGCAGCAGACCTGGCCTTACCTGGCTTAAACTCATTTGGCAGCAAAACTGACAGGAACTGATGGGAGGCTATTTTATCATTTTCTCTTTGCCCTCAAGTTGCGAGTGGTCATGTATTTCCCTGCAGAAAAAGTAGTGTGGAATGCTCCAGACCCCACCGGGGGTGCTATATAATACACCCTGTATGTACTGTAATGCCTTTCTACAATCTGAAAATTTCTGAATTCTCCAGCTGGTCCCAAGCATTTTGGGGGAAAAAATTGACGACCCATATTTTAAGAGTAGTAACTTGAGGGAAGGAAGGAGAACTCCTTTTGATGGGGAAGAAGAAAGAAAAGCAAGAGAGATCTGTTTATTTGAGTCACAGTAATTAATACTATTGACTAATACTCTTAAATATAGACTGGATATCCCTTGTATAATATCTTTGCAACTCTTCTGGGAGGTGAGGAGGAAACATTCAGCAGATACAAAAACTAAGACCCAGAGGGGTTAAGTAATTTACTCAAAGTTGTACCAGAGCTATGGCCCAGACCTCTCATTACTCAGGCCCACTAGATGAACCAGGCTCTCTTCTTTCTCCCCAGATGAGCTCCACAAGTCCGAGGATGCACAGGCTACTGACAAACCCTCCGTGAGGTTCAACCTCCGCATCTCCAAGGACCCAGAGCATGAAGGGTGTTACCTCTCCTTTGGCCACAACCAGACCCTGGAAGACTGTGGCTTCAACATGACAGCCAAAACCTTCTTCATCATTCACGGATGGACGGTGAGCCCAGGGGAGGGAGCTCTGCAGCTTTACACGAGATCTGGTTTCTTTTGTTTTGGTCAATTAGAAAGAATACTGGTGCTTCCAGATTCCACTCGCTCTCCCCCCTTTCCTTGTGGGCTGCTTGTATTTCAGACAGCTGTGAAGAATGTAACGGGCACTTTGCTAAGGGGGCAATCGGGACTCCAGCAGGGTGGTATTTAACGCGGGCACACAGCGGGCTTTCAGAAAGTGGCTCTCCTGAGGGCAGCAGCCCAGCTCCACTGGCTCTTAAGGAACCCTCTAATTACACTTAATTACATTGGTCAACCACTGCCTCACGGGGGCCATCCCTCCCTAAGAACTGAGCTGAGCTGAAGGGGCTTGACTGGCTCAGAGAGTCTACGAGGAGCCAGCTGGCCTGGCTTGCTGGCCGCCGTTGGCATGATGCCCTCCTGTTTGCATAGAGGTTGCTTCCTTTAAAGGCCTTGGGGCTCTTTATGTGTCCTAGCTGAGCAATTCACATTGAAAGGTCCATGACAAACTTCCAGAAAAAAGGGTTTTAACACTCAGCTTCAGAAGCTTTTGACCAGTGAGGGATTTATTCATTCAAAAGTGACAGTCTGTAAGAAAATGGCACTATTAAGTGAACAGGTTTCTGCCTGGGCTAATTGGGAGGGGACATTCCTCTTCCTAATGATGAGAAATCATATCTGTTACATGTTTTCTGGGTCTTTAGGTCTATCACCAACTACTGGAGTTGGGCCTGGGGGGAGGCTGGGGAGGAGGTGCCTATCTACCTAATGTGAATGAAGAGGTAATTCAAGGCCTGCCCAGATATCTGCATCCCGCAGCCCACAATTAGAATCATGCGTTTGAGTCTTTTTAAAGCCCCCTGTCAAAATGCAAATACAAACTGCCTGGAACTTACAAATGGGTTGCATTCCAGAAAGTTCCTTTGTAATCTGTTTGGAACTTGAAATAGCAGTTTCCCATAGAAGCAAGATTGTAAATGGCGGTTGGGTTCCCAGGCCAGGCACAGACAATCTTTTTATCTAATTATGTGCTTGTGGAGAAGTTTACAACTGGACTTTGTCACCATTTATACTTTGTTTCTGTGGGAAAATGTGTTCTGAGTTCTAATTTGGGATTCCTGCTCTGAGGTCAGGAGGCCTGGCAGAGATGGGTTGTAGGGCGGGGTCATGTGTTCGGTTGACGCTCGCCTAGGAGACACCATTTCCCTGCATCTTCAAGAGAGAAGCTAATTCTCCAGGGCAACCCTTCCCAGCTGCCTTTGAATGATGGAGCAGGCCACTTGCCTGACTGTGATAGGGACTTAGGCTAACCTTAGGCCAGTAACCTCATAGTGGCTTTATAGGACAGTAGGGCAGCAGCTATGAAAGTTTTGATGAGAAAAACCAGGGACATAAAGAGTGATGAAAGCAAATAGTCATGTGCAAATGTTTGGTCCCTGAGCAGTCAAGGTGAAGATTCTGGAATCAGCTAGGGAGAGGACCATGGAACTGAATTTTATATTCACTAGGATTTCTAAACATAGGGAAGTGTGTGTGTGTGTGTGTGTGTGTGTGTGTTCTAATGTCTTGTTTTCTCTGCAGATGAGTGGCATGTTTGAAAAATGGCTATTCAAACTCGTGTCAGCCCTGCAGACAAGAGAGAAGGAAGCCAATGTCGTGGTGGTTGACTGGCTCCCCCTGGCTCACCAGATTTACACAGATGCCGTCAAAAATATCAGGCTTGTGGGACGGAGCATTGCGAGGCTGCTCGACCAGCTGCAGGTAACTGGCAATGGACGGGAGCCAGCTTTCATGAGCAGCATCTTGAACTCAAACCTTAGGAAATATGGGTCAGACAGTGTTACAGTGGATTTCGGATGTCTGAGCACAATCTTTGGAATTCAAATTGTTACTGAATTAACTACTTGAAATCTGGGACTTTTAGAGTGCCTTTTAATCATTGACATGTCTCTGGATTTTTCCTGTTTCTTTATTTGCCAGGAAGAAATTTTACCTTATGAGTCATTACTTTCTGATATTAGAAACACAGACTCTTGAGTTGGCTGGGAATGGCCAGGAGGCAGGACTGACTTGTAATCTTACAAACCTACTGAAGTCTGCTTTTGCCTCTGAGGGGTACCTGTCCTGAGATGGGGACAGGCATTGGTTTAAACCAAGGCAGCCTGTTGCCTTGTTTAAAAGATTAAGTGTGGAAAACACATCTAAAGGTTTTACAATTCCGGGTTCCTAAACAGTCCCTCAGTCTTCTGCCCAGGTTGTTTTGTGGAACTTGGTTCCTGAACGGTGGGGTCAAATCCCCACCCCTCCACCCCCACCAGCAGAGTGCCCTGTCAGGGTGCAATGCTTATGCTGGGGTCCGAGGCAGGCCGGAGGTGAGAGCGCAGCTCCTGGCGCCTAAGAGGGCGGGCAAGGAGTGTGCAGCTGCAGGCTGTGGCTGGTGCGTAGTCTCCAGGGAGTCTGGTGGCTTTGACCTCCACACTGCCACCCTCCCCGCTTAGATGCTGCCGGAAAGAATGGAAAACATGTAGGGCAAGGGTCAGGTATACAGCTTTTAGTCACAACCTGCTGCCTGCGCTTGGCATTTGCAGTGCCACCAAGTCCTTTCGACCTCCTCTTACCTGGCTGTGTTCCATCTGTGTTGCGTTGCCAGCAAAGCGAGCCATGTCCCTGAAAGCCTCTGTCCCTGGCTCCTGTGTCTCCTCCTTGTCATGATCGATCTGTGGAATGGCGGGTGGCTCTCTGGGCTCAGGACTACATTCGCGCTCACATACTTTTGTGCCTTCCTTCAGGAGAAGGACAGTTTTTCTCTTGGGAACGTTCACTTGATCGGCTATAGCCTTGGAGCGCATGTGGCTGGGTACGCTGGGAACTTCGTGAAAGGCACCGTGGGCAGAATCACGGGTAAGCTCTGCTCCCTCCACGAACAGCTGGTCCCTGTGCTCCCTGGCTCCTCTGACAAGCCGGCTTTTTGGAACCAGAGTGCTCCTGTGTGAGACAGCGGGAGTGAACCATAGAGTGTTAGCTTTGGAAAAAACCTGGACAACCTCTAATCCCTAGCTTTTCAAATGTTCTATTTAGTCACAGAGCCCTTTTTCTCAAACTAAACTTGTACGGCACCCCAATATATGAAACAGAAACAACGTTTGGGTTGAAGCTGGGCGTGTGGTGGGCAGTGTCAGCCTTGCCTTTTGGGCCTTCGCCTTCCCTGGAGGAATCGCAGGGGCCTGGAGCCCGAGGGCAACACAGTTTAAAAACCACTGGTCTGACCCAACAGGCAAGGAAACAGCTGGGGCCAGACAGCTAATAAGTAAAGCGAGCCTCCAAGCTTCTGGGACCCACGCCCCGTCTCCGCCTGTGGTACCTGGGACCTCGAAAGAATGAGCGGTGGATTCTGGTTTGAATTCTGCCTCTGATTTCTGTTTCATCTACCAACAGCTTCTTGGCAGTGTTTAGCTGGCGAATTTATTAGTGATAATGAACTGTTTAGAACGGATGATTAAACTTTGTCCTTGAAGAAGCTTTTCTGATATTAGCACCCAGATTGTCAATAGAAAATTGAACTTTGCATTTTGCTGAGCTGTTGATGTGAGAGTTTGGATTAAATAAAACCTTTAGTGACTGTGGAAAGTGGGAACAATTCTCTCTCTCATGTTGGGACCCCCTCAAATACTGCACGGGGCTTCCTCTTGGCTAAAATGAATGACACACTTGTTGCCCTGAACTTTTAGTCTCCTTCCAAGATTCTTTTGTCTTCACTCCCAACTTTCCACTTGCCCCCAAAATAGAAGGCAAGAGTTGATCAGTTTCTTTCCCAGCAGTGTTTTCATTTTGAAACAGGACTCAGGTAGAAGGGTGGTCTTAGCTGAAGAAAGATTTAGTGAAGTTAGAATATCAGGTTTCAGCAGTACCATAAGCTGGCGGGGTAGACTTATAAACAATATGCATCTGTGAGGTTTTAGTGGCCCTCTTTAGATCATTGCCCTGGGCTTAAGTCTAATGCATTTGTGCACCCTCACACACACTCACCTACTCCTTTAAATTCAATTATTTGCTTCAGCATAACTTGAGCATTTTATTTTTGATTAGCAAGGCAGCTGGGCCCGAGCTAAGAGGACAGTGATTGTGTGGCCACACATGACTGCTCATTAACCCACTGCCGGAGCAAAGCTGTTTGACCTCAAGCCACTCTGGGTCCTATTGTCTGAGCACCTCCTCCTAGCCCCAGCGCAAAGCATGATGTTCAGAGCCGGGCCAGCCAGTCTGGTGGGGGCCGGCACACCCCAGGCCCCACCAGGAAGCCCTTGGCAGTACGGGCAAGCTGCAGAGCTTCCCTTTGCTCATTTCTAAATCCTAAATGAGAGGGGGCTGGTGAGGAGCATCCCAGTTCTTTGCCCTGTCTGGGTGGCAGCTGCTGAGCTGCAGGCTTCGCTGGCAGCATGCTAATCAGTCCCCCGTGCTGTCTGCCTGGAGCATGGGGGCCGCACGTTCTGAGCTCGGCCGCTTCTTCCCGGCTTTTCTCTGTGGAGCAGGGGGCTGGGGTGAGCACGACAGGAAGGAGTGGCCTCTGTCCAGTTGCCAAGCAGCACCTCAGAGAGTATTTGGATGACCTGACATATGCCGTTGTGCATGTCTGATGGGGGAGGCTTGTGCACTTTGCTCTGCCCTCAGACTTTTCCTGGGCCTGGGAGCTAGGTGGTCCTGACTGGTAAGGGGACCGGGGAGACTATAGCTGGAGCGGGGTCCGGGGGCCACTGCTGCTGCTTTGCAGAGGCCTGGGGCCTGCTGGGGGACACCCAAATCTCAGTCTTGCTTGGATCAGAGAGCTGTGTATCGGGGTTTGCTCGGGTTTTACACTCTTAGGCTTCTGAGGGAATTCTGTGATATACTAGGGAAGAGGTCATAGATATCTAATTGAAATTTTATCTACTTATAAATAAATAAGTAAACAGATTTATTAATTCATCCAAGAAATAGAAGTTAAGTGACCACCCGGTAGGCTCTGGGCTGGATGCTGCCTAATGTCACACAGCTGATGTGTGACAGGTACTTCATGCCATATCTAAGTCACAGGGTGCTTGGGCAAGGGGGATCCTTTTGGCTCCATTGTACAGGTGGGGAAACTATGACTCTGCTTAAATTATGGGTCTAATATCTTGCATGTCACATAGCAGGGCTGCACCCGCCCACTGTACCACACTGCCTCTCCGCAGTCAGTAAAGGAGCTGTGTGTAGTGCAGCAAGCTCTGCCCTGCCAGGCCAGAACGCAGAAGTGTTCCTGTGTGCATGCGTGTGCACGGGAGTGTGTATGTGTATGCACGATCGTGTGTGTATTCCATTTGCTGGACAGAGCACTTTTGGAGGAGTCAGACTGAATGGAAGAAGGGGTGGTTCTTCATCTCTCTCTTTGGAGTTCTCCCTCCCATTCCTAGTTAAAAAAGTAATCTGTGCAGCTTTTCTGCAGAGTCTGTGGGCCCTGGCTATGTGTCAGGCCGGGTCAGTCTGGGTAGGTGAAGGCCCAGCCTCGCCGCCAGCGGGCCTGTCGAGAAGCCCTGGATGCCCGCATTCCTCCAGCCCAGCTTGGTTTCCATGGTGCTGACCGTCTGGTGGGGACTTTTGTTCACACCAAGCAAAGAGACCCTCTCTTATGTTGGTTGCAAAACAGAATGCTCCTCTGTATTTATTTTTTTTTCCTCCAGGGGACATGGCAACAGGCAGGGAGAGGCCACTTGTGTCAGTACTGTGGTCCTTGTTGCCTCTAAAACACGTCATTGTGGGCCGTTTTTGGAGGATGCTGTTTTTGTGCCATCTTTCTTTTGGGTCCCGGGGTGGGGATGAGCCCGCAAGCAGCCTGGGCTCCCTTTCAGCCTCTGTCTTACATACATTTATCTAAACTTCTGAAAACTGTTTACAGTTCTCATGAGTAACGAGTTCCACAGATTTACTCCGGACAATAGCTTTGGCTTTCGTTCACCCTGAAACTGCTCTCTCAGCCGCCCAGTGAGCTCCCGGGTTCGGTGGCCCTGGGGTCTGGGGAACATGGTGCTGTTGCCCACCTCCTCCTTTTTAGGGCTGTTTTGGTCATTTCTCCTCTCTGCCTTGCTGTTTCAAATCAGGGTTTCTCAGCCTTGGCTCTGTTTACATTTTGGGCCGGTTAATGCTTTGTTGTGGGACCTGCTCTGAGTATTGTTGGATGTTTATCAGCACCTACTCTTTAGATGCTAGTAGCTTTTCCCCGTTTCCCCCAGTTGTGACAACCAAAAATGACTCCAGATGTTGCCAATTGTCCCCTGGGAAGCAAAATCACTCCCAGTTGAGAACTGCTATTCTAGATTAAACAGACCCCCTTCCTCTGCTGTGAATATTCTCTTAATTTGTTTTCTCTGTGTCTGTAGGGCAAGAACCTTCTAAGTTGGGATGAATTTAGCTCCCGTAATTACTTGAGTTAGGTAATAAGAGCTAGCATTCGCACTGACTAGCACTTACTCTCATGTTATCTCACATAAGATGTATGAATTAAGATACTCAGGTTCCATTTTCCAGATGATACTGAAGTATGGAGAAATTTTTCAAAATCTGGTCTATAGACTACCTACTGTTAGGATCACCTGGGGAATAAATACGTGTTTCTGGGCTCCATACCAGACCTACTAATTAGAATCTGTGTGTGTGTGGCGGGGGGGGGACCCCGGGAACTTGCATTTTATAGTTTGTAAATTTTTTTTTAATGATTTTGCGTTCACGTGGTTCCAAAATTAAAAGATGGCGAAAGCCTCTCTCACGGCCGCCACTCCCTGCCCAGTTCCCTTCTCTGCCCTCCCCCGCACATGTGTACCACCGGGAACCGGCCGCTGGGCTGCCCTTCCAGAGTTTTTTGTAGTTACAAAGTAGAATCTGTATTTGTAACTAGCTCCAGGTGATATTTGTGATTTTTTTTTTTTCAAATGTGAGAACTAGTGCTCTCCACAGTGCTCCTTGCCTGTTCAATGCAGAAAGTTTTGAGGCAAAAATGTTTACTCTTTGTAGCTGCAAAATTGAGAAATTCTGGAGGCATGGGATATAGATTCTCAGCGTCTGATGTCCCCATCCACCCTCACCGTTCCACCCCAGGCCTGACCCATCACTAAAGGAAGGGGAAGAGTAAGTCCAAATGTAAATAGCTCAGTTTGGGGAAACTGAGGCTTCCCTCCAGAAGTGTAGGTAGCTTAGTTATTGTGTAAAAAAGCCCACTAATTTGAGGCTGTGGAAGGCTCTCAGTGACAGAACAAATGGGATGAATGGCTTAGTGTCAGCCAACCCGAGTTCTTTCTAGAACTGCTGCAGTTCTGACAGCTGGTGGTTCCTCGGAGCTGTGTGTCAGAGTGAAGCTTGTGGCCAGCTTACTAAATCAGGGGAAGTGTCAGGACAGGCAAAGGCATCAGAAGAAAGCAGAGATTCCTGGACTGCAGGCACTATGTGTTCCAGATTGGCTGGGCTCCGAGCTCAGTTCCATTCTTCACACTCAGACTGGACTTGACTTGGTGCGCCTGACGCAGTTGGTATCGGCTCCCCCTTCTACTATAGGTTTGGATCCTGCCGGGCCCATGTTTGAAAAGGCAGACATCCACAGCAGGCTGTCCCCTGACGATGCAGACTTTGTGGATGTCCTTCACACCTACACGCGTTCCTTCGGCTTGAGCATCGGGATTCAGAGGCCCGTGGGCCACATCGACATCTACCCCAACGGGGGTGACTTCCAGCCGGGCTGCGGACTCAATGATGTTTTGGGCTCGATTGCATATGGAAGTGAGTTCCTTATTTCCTGCTTCCTGGGAGGAAACATTTGACTCAGTTATGGCATCTCCTCCTCAATCAGCCAAAGCTGTCAGAGGTCCCGACCACATTTATCTTATTATTCCTACCTCCCCCTACAGTGGTCCTCAACTACTGTCTACCATTTCTCATCCTATAAGCCTGTGAACAGCCGCCCTGTGGTTTCTGCTTTGTCTTCTCATGCTTTGAGGTCCAGATTCTATTGATTAATTTATTTTTGTAACAAAAGAAATACATATTTGTTGAGTAAAATCAAGCAATATAGAATTGCATAAAACAAAAAGCAAAATTGCCCCCTTATCTCTTATTCCTGCTTCCACTCAGTTTTCAGAACTAGCCAATATGAATGAACAGTTTTATGTCCTTCCAGTCTTTTTGCTTTGCAAATTTATTTGTGTGTGTGTGTCTAATTACATTTGTCAAAATTACATTTTTCTACAACTTTCCCTTTTCAACAATAGCATATTATGGACATTCTTCAATGTCAGAGCATGTAGATCTTACCTTCCCATTTTTAGAGGCTGTGTGATAGTCTATAGCATGAATACTCTATAATGTATTTCTCGTAACATTTTACAGAGGTACACCCAGGATGCTTTCTCTAGTCACTTGTCGTTTGTCTTCCAAATGCCTGAGTTTATGCCCGGCAGGCTTGGGCGGAACTGAGTTTGCTGCTGAGGCGGATGTGTGGCCTCGGTGACTGCCCTCTTCCTGGGTTTCTCATTCACTCGCTGCCTTGGATCCTGGCAGCCTCACTGAGTCTTGGCCCCAGTCGGTTCTCTCTGCTGTGATGCTGTGCCCTTGGGTGTCCAACTCTGACACTCAGTGTTAAGACTGTTGCCCTCTCCCAATGTGATAATATGTCCAAGTAGCCCCTGAAGGACTTGGAGGTCCATGCAGGGTGGTTGAGCCCTGCCTCAGGGGATGGAAGGATGGCATTTATTCTTCCTTCCTTCCAATTTAAGATTTTATTTTATTTTATTTTTTAGAGAGAGAGGGAAGGAAGGGAGAAAGGGAGAGAAACATCCCTGTGTGAGAGCAGCATTGATCAGTTGCCTCTCCTCACACGCCCCCAACTGGGGACCTGGCCCACAGCCCAGGCATGTGCCCCAACCGGGAATAGAACCAGTGACCTCTCGGTTCCCAGGCTGGCGCTCAGTCCACTGAGCCACACCAGCCAGGGCGCATTTCTTAAGACTGGTGGTGTTAGTGAGAATGGGGTTTTCCTTAAGGTCCCAAGATTTACTTAAACTGTTGGCTTTAGCCCTGGTTACAAGAAATAATGAGGTATTATGCGCCAGAAAATCCAAGTTATACTTCTAACTTTGAAACCAACTGTCCGTGTGAGCCTGAGCAAATTATTTTGTGTTTATGGGCCTTTGGGTTATAATGGAAAGGAATAAACTAGAATGCGGTTGGCAAACATTTCCCCTAAAATGTCAGCTAGTAAATATTTTAGGCTTTGCAGGCCAGAGCCTGTTTCAAGCACTCCACTCTGCTGTTGTGGCACAAGAGCTACCACAGACAATCTATAAACAAGTGAATGTGGCTGTGTTCCAGTCAAACTTTATTTACGAAAGCAAGTGGTCAGTCTGCAAGCTGCAGTTTGCGGAGCCTTGGACAGGATGACGCCTAGCATCTGACCCATTCCCCTCATTTTGTGACTGTACAACCTTACCAGGACTTGGTGACTCCCACTGTCCCACTGACTTTCATCACCGCATTTAGTGCCCGTTACATGCACTCTGGCTCCTTGCCGCTTTGTGTGTGCTAGTGCTGTCTTCCCACCTGGTTAGGTGGCAGGAATGGCCTTTAATTCTTCTGCATCTTCATGGAAGCCTAGCACCACACTGGGCATTTTTAAGAATTACTCAAACAAGACTATAAACAGCAACAATATTCGTTATGATTGATGAGGTATGCAGTACTTATTTTTTTATTTTTCAATTACAGTTTACATTTAATATTATTTTGTGTTAGTATCAGGCGTACAGCGTAGTGGTTAGACAGTCATACACTTTACAAAGTGTTGCTTCCTATATTTCTAGTACACACCTGGCACCATACATAGATATAACAATATTATTGAGCATATTTCCTATGCTGTACTTTACATGCCCGTGACTGTTTTGTGACTACTCCCAGTTTTGCACGGTACTTACTGACTGAATAAGTGAATCATTGGGAAGTGGCTTATCTTGCATGGTTTCTGCCTCTCCCTCATCAGCATTCACAGAGGGGGTGAGGTGTGAGCATGAGCGCGCCGTACACCTCTTTGTCGACTCCCTGATGAATCAGGACAAGCCGAGCTTTGCGTTCCAGTGCACGGACTCGAACCGCTTCAAAAAGGGGATCTGTCTCAGCTGCCGGAAGAACCGTTGTAATAGCATTGGCTACAACACTAAGAAAGTGAGGAACAAGAGGAACAGCAAGATGTACCTAAAAACCCGGGCGGGCATGCCTTTCAGAGGTAACCCTCTGTCCCCGCAGTGCCCTGAGGTCTCTGTCTTTTCCCTCCTTCTAAATATCTCATGGAACAGGGCACACCCCAGTGTGGGAAGTGTGGCCGGCACAGTTAAATCAAATCATTGCAAATCGGATTATGTCGTACATGCCATCGGAAAGTTAATCTTCAAGAACAAATGGTGGGGACTCCTTTTGTGATGTGCATTATCACTCCATGATCACATTTAATATCTTAAATCTCTCTTCCATTTAACTTTTCAAAGCTGTTGCATATTTTGTTTTCTCATGTGGTCACTCCAAAAAATCTGAGATATGACCAATAGGGTATCAAAATGATATCTGCCTTTTTATAGCATGTTATAAAACCATGAAGTTTGTGGGTATTGGGGGAATTATTTTACATACTAGGAAATAAAGGCTCAAAGAGCCTTGGTTCTTAATTCTAGGCTATGTAGCAGGGAAGTAGCTGGGCCAGGATCCCCCAAAGCTCTCCTAAACCCCAAGTTTAGGGCTGCTACTTCTATATCCCAGTGGCCTTTTATGCCATTGGACAGAATGAGACCAGAGAGAAGCTGGAAGCTAGGTTGGACCAAAAAGATGACAGTCCCTAAAAACTCAGTGCCCCTAAAACCGCAGTGTGCTGGGTGACTTGAGTTTGGGCCAGGTTGCCCTGATATGACAGTCAAGGCTGACAAATGTCTTTGTTCTCCTGTCTCTGCAGTGTATCACTATCAGATGAAAATCCATGTCTTCAGCTACAAGAACACGACAGAAATCGAGCCCAACTTTTATGTCACCCTTTACGGCATCCGTGCAGACTCCCAGATGCTGCCGTTGGAAATGTAAGTCCCAAGCTCCCTTTGCTGGGGTGAGGACAAGTTGGTAGGAGAAGGAGAGGACACAGGAGCCTGTGAACAGTGCAGAGGAGTGTAGTCTGAGGGCCTGCGTGGTTCCAGTGGCCTCCGCAGCCCTCTGTCTTCCTGTAAGTACGCTCTCTACGACCAAGCCCTCCACATAAAACATTTCTGGGAGGGAAGCTCCCAGGATGAGTCAGCAGTGTGAGAAGCTGCTGGAAGGCAGAAAGTGCTGTTTCATTTTAGACAACGCCTGACATCTGAGGCTTTAGAGGATCTGGAATGTCGTGTCATCCCTGGATCATTTCTAATTGCCTGTGTGATGGGCACACAGTGCCCTGTATAGATTTACTGGGTACTCTTAAGGTACAAAGAGTCAGGCTGTATAGCGCTGGGGTTGCAAAGAAATGGCACCAAAGTACTGGCTCCCAGGCTCAGGGTCTTGTTGGGAGACCAGGTTTGTATGTGTATACTTGCTCACACAAAGCGGGTGAGGCAGGCTCCCCAAGTGCCAGATGGGAAGGATAGGTGGGAAGGGCCTGGGAATGTGCAGGGAGACAGGCGCCTGTGGGCCTAGAGGAAGAGGATACTGTTGAGTGGCGATGTGACTCTCTGTGCTTCTTCATTTCTGTTCTTCCTTGGACCCATGCCCCCAGAAAGTAGTGTAAATAGGGCGGCTCTCGGGAATGGTTTTGATAAGAAGGTGCGGTGCTATAGGTCAGCATGGTGCACAGTGAACTTCCGCCATGGTCCTGCCGGTGGGACATGGATGGGGGCGTGGGAGAGAGGCCTCCCCTTGTTTCACTCCGGCCTGTGGGGGCAGGTGCTGCACGGCATGGCAGTTTCCCAGGTGGCAGGGAGTGAGACCGGCTTTTCTCTCCCCATGTAGAGTGGAGCAGATTGGGCTGAATGCCACCAACACCTTCCTGGTCTACACAGAGGAGGACTTGGGAGACCTCTTGAAGATCAGACTGACCTGGAAGAGGGCTTCTCAGTCCTGGTACAGCCTGTGGAATGAGTTCCGCAGCTTCCTATCTCAACCCAGAAAGTCCAAGCCGGAGCTGAATATCAGGCGCATCCGGGTCAAGTCTGGGGAAACCCAGCAGAAGTAAGTTCCTCATGCATGACCCTTTTGGGCTCCATGTCAGTAGTGAGCAGAAGGCATGTCTTGGCAGTGTCCTTTCCTTTGCTAAGCAAGCACCTGCAGTCCTTTCATATCCAGAGCTGTGGGCAAAACCTCAAATATCTTTGCAAGAAAAACAAATTCCAGGACAAGTCCTCTGTCAACTTTTGTACCGTGACCACAGGCCCTTGGCTGAGAGGGGTGTATAAGTTGGGGCTGCATTCCAGCCCTTATTCTGTTTGCCAAGCCCTGGGCCGGCTCAGAGGAAGGAGCTGCTCCTGGACGGGGCTCTTCGAGAGCGCTGCCTCGCTCATCTCTTGCCCTGAGGCCCATGCAGCCACAAGTCTCTGCCTGCTCCCGTGCAGAGCAAACCAGACTACCGAGTCCAGGGAGCCCCCAGGAAGAGGTCTGTGGGAGGACCTGGTGTCCTTAGCATCCAATTTTCAGAGCATTAGACCTCTCCTTCCAAAGCTGTGAGTCAAGGTCGTGTGGCGAGTCTTGATGTCAAGTAAAAGAGAATCCTTGATGCCATGCTAGCTGGCAGTTTCCCCACGTCTGTTAACCACAAGATTGGCATGATAAATCCAGATCTTTATTTGTCAGCACCTTAAACTGTACCTTGACTCAGTGAGCAGGCTTCTCTAGGAGCTTTCTCAACAATGGAGGTGGGGGACTTGGCCAAATCCTTCAGCAGACCCCCGGGAGGTCACAGCCAGCCTTGGGGTGGTCAGAAGCAGCCTCTGCCTTCTTTGTGCCTCATCTGGCATTTTCCCCTGTTGGCATCTGTTATCTCTGGCACAGGGTGGCTGGGAGAGGAGAGGAGAGGAGGCGTGGGTTCCTTGCCTGAGTAATTTTGTTCTAGAAGCTTGTGAACTGGGGGAGGGAGCCAGCGGGGAGAAGCTGTTAGCGCAAAGGCTGTGGTCTCAATAATTGTGTCTCTTTCCTTCCCCCACAGTCTGTAAGTGCGACCCCTGCCGAGGGGTGTGGTAGCAGAAAGATGACCATTTTCATAAAATGTTTCAAATATAATAAACAGCTAAAACTTAACATATGTAAACGGTTTCCCATAATGGTTTCAGATCGAAGATTTTTCAAAAGTAGCACATTACAGGTAGCGTTGAAACTCCTTTGTGCCCTTAGCCTGTTCCATTCCAAACCAAATGTATTAATCTTCTAACATTAAATAATGTTCGTGCCTTTCCCTCCTTCATGATTTTTATACATTTTGTATTTCTGTTTGTATCCATACAGACATGATTTGGATGCTTCTAAAATTTATTAGCGGACGTATCCCTTAACAAGTTGCTTTTATTTATCCAACACTGTTTATGACATCTATCCAATGTATATAGATCTAAGCTATTTACATTTAACTCCTGTATGTAAACTGTCATGGTACAACCTCTTTACCATTGCTCTGTTGAATATTCCAGTCGTTGCTAATTTTGTGGTCACAAATAGCCCTGAGATGAACATCCTTGTGCCTGTGTGAGAGGGCTTTAGTATGAATACTAAAAAGTAGAATTGCTAAGTAATAGTAGGTGTCTTCTCCAACTTGGCTACGTACTATTAATTCCCTCTCCAAAGTGGTTGGACCAATTTTAGTATTAGCCACAGAATAAGAGTTCTCCTTTCCCCTCCTCTTCGCCTACATTTGATGGGACATTCTTGATATTCTGTTGGGTATGAATGGATCCCTTACTGTTCTTTTAAACTTTTTCTGATTGTAATAAGGTGAGTAACCTTTTTATATGTTTATGTACTGTTTGAGCCCAAACAGTAAATTGGTAAATGTTCTCAAAGCTGTTCTAATTAAGGTTTTGGTCCTTAGGGTGAGCAAGAGCATCTATTGGTCACAGGGTCATGCCAATCACCCACCACCAGGCGGGGGTAACCCACATGATTTGGCTGTAAGGGTTACTGTTGAGATGGTTATTAGACCACCGATGCTATCTGTGATCTTGGCTGTCCATTTCCCGAATCTTTGATTTTAACTCACAGCTGAGTCCACCTATGCTTGTCGAGGGATATTTATGAGCCCTGTACTGGAGTGGAGGCACCTCGAGTTCCTCCAGCCGAGGAGTTTACAGTCCACCAAAGACAGAGGAATCCACAAGCAATTCAAGACATTCCTTATTAACGCCATGTCATAAGAAGTAACGACAATAAAAAAAGCAACATTTATATAAGGACACGCTTTCCTATTAAATTCAGAGATGAGGGTCTCAGGCTGTCAGGGAGGTTCAGGGAGGCAGGCAGTCTTTTGGAGAGACAGAGAGGGAAGAACGTGGAAGAGGAATGACTGAAGGCCGCGCGAGGTGACTGATGGAAGAGGTCAGAGAGAGAGGCGGGATAGAGTGCTCGCCTGTAGAGGCAGCAGGAGTTCTGACGGCTCTCCAGACAGGGTGCGGCAGATGAAAGCTTCTCTTTTCTCCTTGCTCCGCCCACCTTGGATCCAGAAAGCACTCTCTGGCTACTACACAGCCACGTACCTTCCCCTCTAGAGTTTTGGTTACATCAGTGTTTCTTCTTCCTCCTAGATTTACGTTTTGTGCAGAGGACCCTGAGAACACCAGCATATCCCCTGGCCAAGAGCTCTGGTTTCACAAGTGTCTGGATAGATGGAGAGTAATAAACGAAACCAGGTAACATGGGACTTTCTCCTATGCTCATGGGGCACATGTTGACTGGCCACCTGGCATGGGCCTGGGCACCTGGGACATAGCAGCGAACAGAAGGGATATAAATCCCTTCCTGTGTGAAGCTGACCTTCTGCTGCAGGGAGACAGACAAAGCAGTGGAACATACAGGATGTCAGAGGGTGGGAACGCCCCTATGTCTCTTGTTCTTCCTGACCCCGTGGGGTCACTGCCATGGTCCTGGTGGAATGTCTTTCAGAACTAAATCCCTGGGGTTGGTGCCCATGCCCTGTCTTAGACTAAACTTCTCAGTGGCCAGAGCTGTGGGACATTCCAGGCTTCCCAGCTTCCTTCCGGGCACCAGGTTGGAGTGCGAAGTTGTCGGGGGTGGGGGGGAATAAAGGAGAACACAGAGTATAGTCCTGTTTTTTAGATTTTTCGGAAACCCAGGTTGGTGTGAGTGGGTGTTAGCGAGCAGTTCTGCCCCTTTTGGAGAGGCAGGAATGCTCGTCTGTGTCACGGTGAATCGGACATAAGGGTCATCTGGCTTCGGTGTCCCCTTGCCTCATGCTGGAGTCCTTTCATTTCAGAATGGAGGAAAGCTGCTGTCTCAAGGTGTGAGGCGGTGGGCACATCCAAAAGGGGAATTTGTCGTCCATCCTCTGACCTAAACGCCTGCTAGAGAGGAGGGAGGCTGGCCCCCACCGGCCCCCACCTTTTGCCCTAACCAAGGTCCTGGATAATAATGCTGCTGCCAGACGCCGAGCGCAGAGGTGTCCCCACCCTGCACTCAGTGCCTTCCGTACATGATGTCATTTACTTTTATCACCCATCCCAGGATGCTGGTGTTGGTGGCCCTGTGGACAGGTGGGGAGCCTGAGGCTCAGGAGGTTAGGCCAGTCTTTCCAGGTCCCCCAGCTGGTGGTGGCAGAGCGGGGATTGAGGCAGGGCCTGGTTCGCTCAGAGCCTGTGCTCGCTCTTGAGCATGGACGTTCCACCTCCTCAGATAAGGCACCTCACCTTGACCTGGGTATCACTTACCAAGTGGCTGCACCTGTGCTAGGGTCCCCTGTGATTAACTATGCCAACCCTGAGGGCTGGGCTACATGCCAGCTGCTCTGTCTCCTGTTCAGGAGCATCGGTGGGACCCCAGGCCCAGTGACCACAGGGCTTCTGGGATTCTCACACTGCCCATCTAATTAAGCCACTCAGTCTAGGCTCATATGATTTTGTGCTATAACAATAATTTTAATTTTTTATGTTGGTATTCACATTTATACCTTTCCTAGTACTTCCTCATCTATTAACTTCATTGATCTTGAGACAACCATGTAGAATGAAGATGTCTAGGAAAAATCACTGTTCTTATGATAAAGTATATATGATAAGAGATTTCTTTTTTCTCACTCAAGACTTCTGTAGCAGTTGAGAACGCGATAACTTGTCTCATACTATCTCTTTGAGGAAGCAAGTTGTTTTTTCCTTCCCCCAGAGGAACAGAAAACAATGGGAGCCCAAGTAATAAATTAACTCTAGGAAGTCATGACAACCCTAGACCTGTGTGACATCTTCAGTATTGTCTGCTGACCTGGACACTGTTCACCTCTTCACGGTCCAAGAGACCGAGGTTCTGAGAGGTTCAGTAGTGAGTCAGCGTAGCTGAGGCGATAGTCAAGATCTCTTGACTCTGTCTTGTTCGCTCCTTGCCATCCTACAGTCTCCCTTCTTTCTTGACCAAGGCGGAAGGCTTGTTGATGGTGCTCCCCACAATCATGCGTGTGCGTGTGTGTGTTCACGTGTGCAAGGGTCTTTTGTGTGTGTGCGTGCGCGTGTGTGTGTGCGCGTGCGCGCGCGCACCACAGGTGAGTATTGTGCTACGTAAGTAAACGCCAATGCTGAGGTGTATGGAGCTAGGAACCCAGAGAGGGCTCCAATGTGGTGGGGGAGGGGGAGAAAGAAGCACTCAGGACCTTTCCCATTTGTTCTGGGAGGGAAGCAAGGAAAAGAATCTGGTAGGTTTGTAAGACAGCTTGGTTGTGGTGTGAACAGGGCACACCTCCGATACAGGCTGCAGGTTTGCTAAGCGAGCTAACGAAGGCCACTCTAACCTGGTTCCTTTCAGGCAAACTGTGGAGCTTCTCTGAGGGTGCCCGCAAGGTCCCTGCCCTGCCTTCCAAGCACATGGAGGAATGTTACTGCTGAGGACCCACCTGATGGAAGGACCCCTCTCGATCTTGACCCTGGAGCACAGGGAAGAGCCTGCTTAGGGGGTTCAGGACCTTGATTCCTACAACTGGGACTTCTCGCCAGAGGGGACCGTGCGATGCTGTTCCTGCTGTTCCTGCTGCTGCCCTAGAATCTCTCAAAGGCCAGATCTGTGGCAAACAGCCAGCTTCCTGGGCCTCTCGTGCACACTGGGCTGGCTCTAGGACTGGATGAGCCTGTGCATCGCCCGACCGGGAGCCCTGGCTCTGTGCAAGGCTGCCTGGCCCACCCCACCTGAGTCACTGTGAGACCTTTCGGCTGGGAGCTGACTTATGTCAGGATGTCAGACCTGTGTCCTTGTCCACCCAGACATGGTCGATCTGGGGCAAGGCAGGGGCCCTCTTTGTTGGGGTTCACTGAACTGCACTGATCAATATCGGTTCCTTTTTTTTCGGTATTCTGTCCTGCTCCTTAACTCACTCTTGAAAGCACACGTCATTGGCTTTCTTATTTTTCTATTGCTCATTTTTTTGGATTGAACAAATTTTTTTTATTAAGCACTTACCCTTAATGGAGTTGAAATGTCTAGACTCCCTTCCAGTTTAGACGATCTGTGAATATACATATGTTGAAGGTACAAGGGACACTGGGGAGAGCTAGAGGATGGAAGAGTTGGGGACCCTGAGGCTTGCAGTGGTTTCTGCCTGTTTTTTCTCTGTTAACATGCATTCCCCCAAAGAGCGGCTTGGTTGATCACCAGCAGAGTAGCAAGCAGGTACCATACATGCTGGGGGCCAGATGGTGGCCAATTGCCAGATACAGTTGCTTTGGAGCAAAATGTCTTCTGTTCAGGGAGATAGACCGTATTACATATGTTATACACATCTGCTTATCCAGAGCCGTCTCCTGTCAAACAGCAGGTGCGAAGATTTAACCCAGTGTTTTTTCTTCCTTGGAAAATTGTTCTAACTCCAGCCCCTTTTCTTTGTTGAACTTCTACAAAAGCCTCCAGTTCTTCATTTGAATTAATATACATGATACCTGAGAAACCCTTTTGTACTTTGCAAAAGATTTTCACGTGGGTCACCTAAGTAGAGATTAACAACAGGAGGTGAACAGGGAAGCTACGATCCTCATTCCACAAGACTGAGGCTCGGTGAGGTTCAGCCGCTCAGCTCATAAGCTGGCAGTGGGGCCAGGTGAGGACTCAGAATTCTTGGAGGCAAAATCCACGACGTGTTCATCTCTGCAACCTCGTTAAGACCTCCACAGCCATTTCTCACCAGTTTGCCCTACATGTGACAAGTGAATATTTTCCAAAGCCATCCATAAAGCTGTAAGCCCTTTTGTTACTATGTAACTAGGAAAACTGTGCCAATGGGTTGGGCTTTTACCGATAAGATTTATTTGGAAGGAGATAAGATGCCAGATGGGGTGAAGAGTGATTTTTGTACTTAGGGTTTTTAAGGACACTGTTTTACTCTGTGCCAAAGTTGTATCCTTGTTCAATGCCCAACTTCAGAAGACATAACTAGTTGAGTCATAAGTCAAGGTATTTTCTCAATCCAATTGTGTGCTTCCTCTGTCCTTTCTATGACTGCTTTTTAGCCAAAGCAGAGCTTATATTACTGACGGTGCCTCCTGATTGCTTCTGACCTGTTTTTAGTAATGGAAGCCTTGGGAATCGAATCCTCAGTGGGTCCTGTATTTATACATTTGGCTTGAGAACTTATTTGTATATGACGATGCTTTTCTTTTTTAATGCCACGCAGAACATTATTTATTTCTTAAACATATGTAATGTATAAAAACAAATATATGGTTAGTTATTACTTTTAAGATTAACCAATTTCAAGATTAAAACATTTTAATAGTAAAAAAGCCCTGGCTGGTGTCGCTCAGTGGATTGAGTGCTGTCCTGTGGACCGAGGGGTTGCTGGTTCCCAATCAGGGCACGTGCCTGGGTTGCAGGCTGGGTCCCCACTTGGGGGCATGTGAGAGACAACCAATCGATATTTCTCTCGCAGACCGATATTTTTCTCCCTCTCTTCCTCCCTCCTTCCCTCTCTCTCTGGAAATAAATAAATAAAATAATTTGAAAAAATTTTAATAGTGAAATGATAAAAATCTACAAAATTCTTAGTGGTGTGGCAACTCAGTTCTTATAAGTGGAGAGACTTACGGCTGCTCAAGCCTAGGGTTTGACAAACAGTTACTTCAATATAAGGTACTGTCTCCATTTGATACTAATTATTGGTAGGAAGTGGGCAAAAACTCTTTTCACTAAAGAACAGGAAGAAACTTTATTTGGATCACAGTAGAAGTGCCTGAAGGTGGATGTTGGGAAGAGGAGGAAGGGCGGCCAGACGTTGGGGAACATTAGTGAGGATACAGGTTTGGTGGCATGGGACTCAAATAATAGTGACTTAAACCAGATAGAAGTTGATTTCTCTATTGTTTTAACTCCCAGCTGGTACTGAGGTTCTGTTCCACAAAACCCAGAGGGGTTTGGGCTCTTGGTTTTTTGCTGTCATCCCTAGGAAGTTCCCCTCATCCCTACAGGCCAAAGTGTCCCCCATACATCCCCTTCCAGCCTGTGGGAAGGGAGAAAAGGAAAGGGGCACATGTCCCCTCTTAAGACCATGGCTGAGAAGTTACCCACATCCTTTTGGACAGAAACCACAGTTCCAGGGGAAGCTGGAAAATACCATCTTTATTCAGGGCACCCATGGGCCCAGCTGCAAACCCAACTACTACTTATAAAAAGGGAAATTGTATATTTGCCATCTCTTCCTCAGGAATTTTTATTCCCTCGAGGAAGGAAGATCCACCAGGGCAACCTTGAAGTCACTCCATTTTCTAGCCAAATTTTAGTAATAAACTCATTTAACACTATGCAGTTTAATGAGTTACATCAATTTGACTTTATTTCTAGTCTCAAATGTTAAAGTGTTTTACAATGAGAAGAAACTTCTCTGTAAGGGGGTTTTATGACAGCAGAAAGTGGCTGCTCTTTATTTTCCCCCCAGGACAGTCTGAAATACTGGACTTACTAATGGATGGGGGAAGAACTGGGTTAGACAGGAAGAGCGTGCTTTTAATCTAATTCAGGTGACAAGGAAGTGCTGAGGTCTTCTCTTTGGCAGGCTTAAGAGAGTTTTGAAATTGCCCAAAAGTAGAGGAATAGTCTGAGTAACAACTTTGTGTCTTGTCTGACTTCGAGGTTCAATGCTACCTCTTCCCCAGTTGGAGTGAGGGAACCTCCACAGGGCCTCCTTGGACTCTGCAAACAAACTGAAGCCCTGAACTTGAAAAGCTGGAGGCCAAGCAGGACAGAACAGCCCTGCTTACCCAGTGTTGTGTCTCTTCTTTCTTGCCTCTGTGTGCAGGGCCCTCCTGGGCCCTCTGGCATGTTCGCTCCAGGAGGATGAGCCTTGATGTGTATTTGGCTGCTTTGTTGTTGCAGCCCTAGAACCGGACTGGTGTCTGCAACATAGGTGTTCAATAGCTATTTAAATGAAAGGGTGAAATTAGGTACAAAAAAAAACCAACAGGCGGGAGGAGAATTAGGAAAAGAGCAATTACTTTGGAGTCAAAGTCCTGGTGTGTCACTCAGTATTATGCAAGCGTTAGACCAAATATAATCTTTCAAGCCTCTGTCTGCTCATCTGAGAAACAGAGACAGTATCTCACAGGGTTGTTGTGATTATTAAATCCATACACTGAAAAAAACCCATTGTTTTGTAAACATTTGAATTAGAAAAGGAGAAAGATAAAAATAACATCGTTTCTATGTATATGTACATTTTATATGTGACAAAGGGGTTCTATTAATCTTTGGGGAAGAAGTGGTTAGTTAGATGGAAAGTCGGCTCGTTCAAGGAGAACATATTTTAGATTTCTATCTCACGCCATATACAAAGATTAATTCCATTTTAATAAATGATACAAATGTGAATGGAAGCCGTAAGCTATAGATATTATAAAATATATACAACAGATCCTTGAACAATGTCGTACCTTTCATTATAATGTTGATGAGAAAAAAAATTTCGCTTCCCTGGCAGGGCCACTGTGTAGAGTTTGCATGGTTTTTCATGTCCACACATGTTTTTTCTGGGGATTCTGGTTCCCTTCCGCCTTCCAAAGCTGTGTATGTGCAGTGAATGACATGTGTACCCTGTCCCAGGCTGCGTGAGTGTGGGAGGCTGGGCCTGGGCCTGCGATGGAAGGCGCCCTGCCCAGTGGGTTCCACCTGCACCCGGAGCTGCCAGGGGAGGCGCTGGCCACCATGACCCTGAACATATGTGGGCTGCGAAGGAATTATCTTACTTGCCTTTATGAATCTTTCTTAAATGTATATAGTAGCTCACATTTATTTCAATATTTAAAATTAGAAGTGTTTTGATCTTTATTTAGAAATTTGGTGATGTTTTGTGATGAGAAATGTGACATAGAAACTTAACTCCTGTGTATGTCTGTTAATCTAAGGTAAAGTTGGTTTTGTTATATATCGTTTTGCTGAAAGTTGCAGTTTCCAAGAACCTATCAATGGTGTTCAGTGAGGACTTACTCTAGTTGAAATCTAGATGAAACCTGAAAATATTGGAACAATAAGAAATAGAAAGTTAGAATAGATCAACAAATATTGAAGAAGCTGAAGAGAGTGAAGAACTGCCCTGCCTGGTATTGGGGACCGTAGCCCAGAGTGAGCAAGGGCTGACCTGTAAGTCTCAACTGGGAAACCAGGAATGCTGGCTGGCAGGCACGAACTGATATGGGCACAGGCGGCCTCCTGGGGAAATCTGGCCTGAAGAAAAATAATGCATTATTTCCTTTGAAGCCTCTCCTGCTAAGAATAATGTTTTCTGGTTAATTGAGTTAACGTACACTGGATGTTTAGTTTCCAAGCTCAAGGTTGTCATGCTGTCTAACCTAGCGTCATGCTGTCTAACAGACCCTGATTTAAGGAGACCCCTATGTTTTTGCAATTGTTACTTCTGAACAATATCTATTCACCTGTGATCAACACTATGTAGCATTGATGGATGAGCTGTGCGTGCATGCCGTGTGCCCCCTTACCTGCTGAGCTCAGTAGAAGCCCAGGGAAAAAGGAAATCAGGGCCCTTCTCCTCTGAGGGGTCAGCCAGCCTTTTCTCCCCACGCAGATCATGTGTTGGTAGACTTATTTCTTCCACGCCTCCAGGGGACTGCACAGGTCGAGGTCCCCCCACAGAAGAGCAGATGTTTAAAATTCTAATTCAATACAATTTAGCAACTTGTCCTTTTATGGATATTGCTTTTAGTATTATCTGTAAGAAAATTGGACTTAACCCAAGGTTACAAAGTTTTTCTTTTAAGTCTTATCAAGAAGTTTTATAGTTTTAGGTTTTGCCTTTAGGTTTATGATTCATTTTGGTTTTCTACATGGTGTGAGGTATCGAGCAAAGTTTTTTTATTGCATATATTTAATTGTCCTGGCACCATGTGTTGAAGAGACTATCTTTTCACCATAGAATTGTCTTAACACCTTTGTAAAAAAATCATATATATGTACATATATGGCTTTATTTCTAGACTCTGTTTCATCAATCTATTTATCTATTTTGATGTCAATACCTCAGTCTCTTGATTACTGTATTGATTACTGCAGATTCATAAGTCTTGACATTGAGCACTGATAGTTTTCAGTCTTGATTTTTCTTAAAGTCATTTTAGCTCTTCTAGGTCATTTGCATTGCCATACGAAATTTAGAATCAGCTTGTCAATTTCTACAAAGAGTCTGCTGAGCTTTTGGTAAGGATTGCATTGAATTTATAGATCTGTTTGAGAAGAATTGATATCTTATATTGAGTTATTTAAAACTCATCTTCATCAGGTCTTAATTTGAATTAGAACATTTTTTTACACCAAATTTGTTATTTTACCACTTGGCTTTCTACTGATAAAATGATTTATTCAAGGAGTTATGTGTCTTATTCTCTCTGAATATAGAAAAAGTATTGTTGGATAGAATAGACTAAGCAAATACACAATTACTTATGATATTTTTATTTTAAAAATGTAAAGTTTGAACATGAAAAAATGTCAACATGCCACTTGAGGTGGTCTAGTGGGTGTGTGGAGAGCCACCCAGATGCCTCTTTCAGGACAGTGACACTCATTCCCCAGCTGCTGGGTGTTGGCCGTTGAGGGCTCTCATCTGAACTCTGTCCAGGAATTGCCCTCGGCCAGACAAGGGGTTTGAGGTCACAGCCCCTCTCCAGGGGCAGTACACACCCAGTGACTAGTGATCAGTCCCCAGCTCCTTGTCTCAAGACAGGCCACCTCCGAAGGGCCCTAGGAGATGGTGAGATCCACTGACGCTTCTGTTGCATCAGAGCTCACTCTTACCCTGCCCAGTCCTCCTGCCTTCACTTCCCAGTAAAAAGTCCTGCACACAAATATCTGTCTCAACAGAGCCCATTCCCCAGGGAATCCAGCCCAAGACTGGGGATTATTTCCCAGACAGCTTGCGATTTATTCCAGGGCTTATAGGAGCATGGATGGAGAAGCCCAGGTCTCCATCCCTGAGGCTCACAGATGAGATGTGGGGGAAACAGGAGCACAGTGCTGCAGAGACCTATAGTGAAATGATGGAAATGCTGATGAGAAAACCGATGATGGAGAGGAACGAGAGGAAGCACCCCAAAGGCTGAGAAGACAACTACAGTGCGGGGCAGGGGGGGGACAAGGGGGAGAAGGGGAGGGGGAGAAGATGCTGAGAAATCACAGCAAAGAGCTGAAATGTATCGGCATCCCTGTTTTATAGACAGTGCTCAGCCAACAGATTCCTGGCAAGTTGCTCAAAAATAAACCTGCCTACTGAACTCTAGAATAT